TCACTTGTCACATCAGCAGACATCAGGATTCATGTAAAGGTTTCTATCCCCTGCTTCCTTCTGGCTTCGTCTCCCCTCCACACCCCCCCTCCCCGCCACACACACACACACACACACACACACACACCCCATAGCTACTGGAATGCTTCTCAGGGTCACTAACTTGGGCCAGAAGCCATTGCTTCTTACCAGCCCACAGAGGCTTCCAGGAGGTAAACAGTACCTGGGATGTAACATAGCCAGAGCCTGTGTATGTGCGTGGGCACCCACTCTGGTGGGGAGGCAGAGACGGGARGCTCTGTGGGGAGGGCAGGGCCCCTCCACCAACCTCACCTGCCCCACTGGGGCTCATATCACATCTCTTCCCCTTTGGAAAATTCCTGACTAGATTCTGTAATGAAATCCACCCCCCACTGATACTAGGTGGGTGGCATCCCTGAGTGCCCACATGTCCCTTCAGCCTAGACACACTGGCAAATGGTCTCATTCTACAAGATGGTATTAAAAGGAGACGTCTGTGAACTGTGACTTCTATAAGGTCTTTTCAGAGAGTTACATATGTCCTTTCATTGTGGAAATTAGAAAAAAGGCAGGTAAATAACTTCAAACTACATTAGATAAATACCACAAGCAGTAATAGGACAATCATGAGCAATTTGAAGCCTGCCAGGCACTAAAAGAAAATGTGTAAGTCAGGGAGGCATCCGTATGGGAAAATGTAAAATGAAATTATTTCCATTCCCCTTCTCTCACACATGGACTTGTCTCCTGAGCCTCATAAGCACATTATCTCATTTGACAATAAGTGTCAGCAATCRCAGTGCTAACTTTAAAGGTTTAATGTACTAAAAGAATTTCATTTTGGGGAAGAAGAGCGAAATTTGATATTGGTATACCTGTGGCTAAATTTTACTGTCTGTGTGAAATTATATTCTTTGGGATTGGTTATGTCTGGTGACCTGGGTTGCCATCATTYAAAAGTGGGGATGCCAGGAGGAGGCTGGGGTCTTTTGATGGCATCTCACTACTATCATTCATCTGMTGCATGTGCAGGAGCCTGGACTTGCTTGTGAATTTATTTATGGGCCTCTTCCTCCTCTGCTGGCTCCCTTGTGAACCAGCGTCCRCCGCCTGGTCATTATGCACACTCGGCTCCCCTCATGGGTTGGCATCAYTGGGATCACATGCATCACTAATAATGACACTGGTGTGTCTGCCAGGTCAGGAGGGCTCCAGAGAACCAGCCATCYGAGGCGCCACGCTACATTTGAAGAGATAATATTGTTCCTGGTGAAGGTTATTCTGCTGCCAAGCAGCCCCAGTTAACAAAAAGGAACAACCCTTCCTCCATGTGGCAGGGCTTACTGGTAGGAGAGTGGCAGGTGGCTTGGGTTCTCATTCGCACAGGAAGGAAGACTTGGCACACAAGAAAGCTGACATGTTAGGGTGCATGCCCAGAGGCTGTGGGCTGGGTTGGCAGACAGCAGCCTGGTCTTGGCATTTGCTGGTGACATTGGTATGACGATGCATCAGGATGGTCAGTTGGCAGATGACCCATGACCCCATGAAGCCATACTGCAAGTGTGCAGGGGTAAGCGGTAAGTGCAGGGKTATGGCAGGCTAGGAGCCCCCTCCCCCCCACCAGATCCCCAAGGGTGCAGGTGTGGGATTTGAGACCAGTGTGAAGTCTTGATCTTGGACATTCCTYGTGGGTTATTTGGGTTGAATCTCAAGCTCTGGGCAGTGGTCAGCAGAGGTGAGGGAGCCAGTGTTGGAAAGAGAAAGTTTCCAGAGCTCATGAGGAAAGGCAGATGGATCTTGAAAGCATGGTGTTGAATGGGCATCTCTCAGCCCACACTCAGCCTGCTGCTGATTGGTTTCCAGGACCCTCCTTGACATCACCTCCCTCAGGTARAGTGTGTATGTCCTGTGTGTGTCCTGGTTCCCTGTTCCCTGTCACCCCCCTCAGTGCCTTTAAGGCGAGTGACTCACACCTTCAGACAAGAGTTGTGATATGTGCCAGGTTGCCAGGGATCCCGGCAGAGGCAGGGAAGCACAGCAGATTACTGAATGATTGAATCCATGCCATGGTTAGATATGAACTATCTTCACATCAGAGCAGCCTGGACACACCAGGTCACCAGGACGAAAGAGCACAAGACGTGAGGCTGCAGAGCAGGATCACGTGTGTGTTCTCCATGTACCTGTGTCCCCCTGCACACGTACATACACACATAATCACATACTACATGTTCACATGCACATCACACAAACATCCACATACTCACCACAATACCACACACACACACACACACACACACAYACACACAYACACACACAYACACACACACACACATCATACCRCATCCACAACATCTTTCTCCATTTTCCAGTATCATTCAGACAGCAAATCAGCAAGATTTCATTGACAATACTTAGAGGGGACTATTAAGGTAGGCCCCATTCATTTGGAGGTCTATCTTAAACAATATGATAGTAACATTTTCTACTTAATTAACAGCATCTATATAAAAGGGGGTAATCAATCCATTGAATGAAAATGAGATTCCCAAGCATTTCTAAAACGTTTTAACATATGATAAACAATTAGAAGTTATTTGTATCTCTAAGTCTTTACCCACTGGCCAATAAACAGAATTAGGGGGAAATAAGCATTAGCCAATCTTGACTGAAAGGTTCTGAGTCCTTGCCTCTCCTCAACTCCATGATTCAGGGGGCTGACGACTCTCATCTTACAAACAAGGCATTGAGGCTCCGAGAGGTGAAATTCATGGTCTGAGTTTGCCAGGCTGGCAAGTCCTGGAGCTCACAGGAGGCTCTGCTTTCCCGACTGTRTGGGCAGCAGGAGGGAGTCTGTCTGCTGCTATGGGATGGTGGTGTAGGGGGACTTTTCATGGCGGGTCACTCTTTCAACACCTCAGGAGCAGAACAGGAACTTTGCGAAAGCTCCAGACAGTTACTTTCTCAAGGTCTTGGGCCTCTGGTTGCTATTGAAGGGTGGCTTTCTGTTTCTGTACATTGAAAACCACTTTCTTCACTTCCCCAGCATTCTCTAGCCTCGATACTTCCTTTCTTTTTCTCCTTAGGAGACTGGACTCCCCCGGCTTCCAGCAGCTCCAGCAGCAGACAGCAGTAGRCAGAGTGGGAGTTCCTGCCAGGAGTGTCCCACACAGCGCTGCCCACGCGTCAGAACACCACCCCACCTGCATATGCATTCAGATTTCTCTCTCCATATATTAAAGGTTTCTGAAATAACCCAATAACTCGGCTGATCTGGAAATTTTCCAGTTTAGATTATGAGAGAATATAAATAGCCACATGTTCACTGCATGCCTTGCTGGGGAGAGGACCCTGAAGACAGGATTAAGAGTCCCTGTCTGGTTCCGGTGGAGTCTTCCCCTGTTCCCTATCCCTTCACTTGATCCTCCAGAAAATGWAGAAATCCAAGTCTATAATCATGAATGTTTGCTCTGCTTCTAACCTTGGGTGATTCTATGATTTAGCTTTTGTTGAGTAAGACAGGGAAATAAACTCAGTTTCCACTAGCATTAATAATTATGTTGTTTGAGCTGGGTGTGGTGGTGCATACCTATAATCCAAGCTCCTTGGGAGTCTGAGGCAGGGGGATTGCAAATTCAAGGCCAGCCTGGGCAACAAAGCAAAACTCTGTCTCAAAATAAAAATGACTGGGTTATAGCTTGTTGGCAGAACACTTGCCTCTCAGGTACAAGGCTCTGTGTTCCATCACTAGTACTGGAGAGGGGTTGTCCATCACACAGGTGTGCTGCAATTCCTAAAAACTGATGGCAAGATGGACAACATTCCCATGGAAATCCCTGCCATGGCTTCTTTGTGGTCCAAGCAACAACCTTAGCAGCCACCTTGCTTCTTCTCCAACCCACAACAAGCACAATTTAGATCATTTTAGTTGAGAAAAAGTAGCCCATCTGTTAGGTGATATTAAAATTCAAAAAAGGTGTTCATGTGGTTGGGAATGTTTTGTCCGCCTCTTTTAAATGCGTTACAATATGCTACAAGTGAGAGGAGAGTATAGAGCAAGCTAAGTGCTCCCAGGATTAGCTTTCTCTCTTACACACACACACACACACACACACACACACACACACACACACACACATCACCAGCAATGTCTACTCTGACTGTCCTTATTAAGCTGAGCAGAAGAGACTGCTTGGATCCCTTTTCTAAACTGGCTTTGTTTAAAATAGGACCCTGACACTGCTGCTTTGGCGATTCTCCAGTTTTATGAGCCAGAACTGTTTCAACACAGAGCCTCAAGTCCAACTCTTTCCTCRTTCAACAGCGGTACAAACCATGTTTTAAGAAACTATAATCATTTTTCCTTTTTTGGTTTGAAGAGGAAAACAAAGGAAAGGGAGAAGGAGATGGTTTAAGAAAACTGGATTATTTCCTACAATCCCTGGGGTCCTCTGTCACTTAGAAATTACTGATATATTCCTGACCCCAAAGTAAGGATGGTCCCTGGTGAGGTGGAGGGTGCAATTCCAGGTGAGACGTGGTGAGGTTGAGATGGTGGGTGAAGACAAGACTCTGGATTAGCATGCACCTGAAGGTGAGAATCCAGGAGAGGACAGGATTCCAGATAAATATGGGACTCCACAAAAGAATGGAGGTAGAAGTCCAGATAAGACATGGAACTGCAGTGGGGACGCGATTCTGGGTAAGGATGGGGTWTCAGGTGATCGTGGCCTCCAGGTGAGCATGAGATTCCAGGTGAGGATGGAACTATGTGGGAGGAGGTGCTTGCAGGTAAGGATGGCGCTGCAGAGGAGGGTGGGCTCCCTGGCAGGATGGGAGCAGAGCTCCTGCTTTGGGGAAGACCAGAGCCCCTCTCATATGGTCCCCAGGATCTCATTGTTTAGGAACAGTGCAGGAAACCCCCCATATCAAGCAAGGACCTCTCCACATTTTGAGGCAGAGGGGAGGGAGCCGCTTACTTAGATTGTCTTCGTCCTCCGTGTTGGTGGTGCCGGGGCTCAGGTACTTGAAGGGAGCGAGGAAGGTGGACAATATGCTTACTTTGTCTGGAAAGAGAAGAACAGGAAATGCACTTTTGACATCGAGTTTCAGAAGAACTCAATGTTTTCATATGTTCTTATTACCGAGGGGTTGGACAAGGGAGGTGGAAAGGTCGTTCTGGTTTTAGACACTTCATTCTGGCTCTGTCTTTTATTGAATTTCTGACAGCATTTTATCAAATTCCTCTCTCCATTCAATTTGAAACTTTATGATTTTCATCTTTCTTCGATTATATTTGGCATCTTCCTTGCTCTCATTTCATGTCCCTTAAAACTTGCAGTAATTGTCTTCAGGTAGCAACCTTGCATCTACTTACCAGGTGGGTGAGCCAGAGCCCATCATAGCAAGGTCACATCCCAGAGAGGAACTAGGATGAGTAAAACAATTTATAATTTATAGAGAACCAGACCATTATTATTCCTCATTGTAATTATTATATTATATTCAATTGTCATTCYTTGTTAAGGAGAATTTCTTTTAGGGGCTTGAAATGCATGAATATAATGGGCTTATTAAAACCATAGCCATGTCACCTAGTGGGCATTTGAGCAGATGTCTAAGAGGGGTCAGATGGGCATAAAGACAATGAGGGCGGGTGGTCTGGACAGTCCTTCCTGGAAATGGCCAAGTATGATGGATGCTGACGATGCAATTCCAGAACTGTGCTTTGCCAATGGCCTGGTAGCCAGGAAGTCAAAAGTGAGGTGGCCAGGCATCCTGGGTACCAGGCACAGTACAGTTGACAAAATGGACCAATCCAGAAAATGCCACTCAAGACCAATAAAATATCTCCTCCACAGTTTCAGAAACTCCTCTTAAACAGATAGGTGAAGGAATTATAGGTTAGAGGTATTTGGGGAGAAAAAATGACCAAGGAAGGGAGCTCAAGGAGGGTATCCTCATCTTAGTGATTTCCATTGACTAAGTTAAAGGCTAGGAGTTGGGAGTATTTGTGTGCATAGAACCTGCAGCACCGGAACACAACCCGCTAGAGACACAGCACATGAGCCCCTCAGCCCAGGGATTCTCAGCTGCCCACTGATGCCCCTGCATCTGCAGAACTCCTTGTTGCAGGATGGATATTGACCACATTTATTAAAAGGCTACGGATGGAAATGCCATCACTACTTATTCAGTGTGGTGCAGACTTGTGTTAGAGTGACTTTTTCTTTTCTTACCAAGTTGCTGGGTGAACTCTCTACCAAGGGCTTAGTTGCTTTGCTAGCTGATGTCTTTCTCCCTCCTCTGAGGGCATCCACCCCTAAGGGCAGGGTGTTTTAGTGGGGCTTCAGTGTTCACATTGCACTCTGCGCCTTGTCTGCCTCTGGCACTACAGAGGAGCACTGTCTCCAGGGGGCTCCCACAGGCACTGTATACCTTGATCAAAGTGTGATTTTTTTTCTCATGAAAACACTCACTGGTGGTTTTATATGTCCTTAGCCTTCAGGCATCTGGACGCAGCCTGAAACCTGCTCCTTTTTTTTATTATTATTTTWWTTTTTTTTTCCTGAGGTTGAGCCTGTTTTCTCCTTAGCCAAGCTATCCRGAGGCCAGGGGAGTTCACATTGAAATTCATTCAGAAGCCTGTTAACAGCTGTTGTTTCCAAMAGGGACAGGCAACAATATAATGTTCACACAAAGAGAACAATAAATAACCCGAATATAAAAYGCCTGCTCCTTCTGCATTCTATCAAACAAGAAGAATAAACCCAGGGAAGGATTTGCTCTCTCTGAACTCTCACGGCCTAAGCTAATTTACTACAAGAGAATGAAATATCTTGCTTGAGTTATAATTTCATTAAGGGAGTCCAATAATGTTACACAAAGACTGTGAAGCTCAAATGATTTAGTCTGGAGGATCTCAAAATGAAATTAAAWTTTTTTTTTAATAAAGCAGGACTACTGGCCAAACACCCACAAAAATACCTTGAACTATTTCAGAGCTCACCTTGACAAAATTGTGAAATTATTTAAAGATTTTATTTAAGATCTGCCGAAGTTCTTACTTTCTACTGTTGTTAGATTTATCAAATAAAAACACAGGACACCCAGTGAAAATTGAATTTCAGATAAATACCACATTTTTTTTCAAGTATACTTATATTGTCAAAATTGTGTGAGGGCTAGCTAAACTGAGACAATTACTCATTATTTATATTCATATTTCAGGCGAAGAACTTGAAAACCCATTTCTCTAAGGAAGATACTCTATGGCCAATTAGCAYACAAAAATGATGCTCAGCATTACTAGCCATTAGGGAAATGTTATGAAAATCTCAGGGAAATTCCACTTCTTACTCACTACAATGGCTAATGGAGAAAGTAGAATCATTGTACACTATTGGTGGGAAAGTGAAAGGATGCAGCCACCATGGAACTAGCAGTTCCACTTGTAGATCTATACCCCAAAGAATTGAAGCCCAGGGAGATATTTGCACATTTATGTTAGTAGTGGTATTATTCACAGTAGCCTAGAGTCAGAAGCACTTCGAATGTCCATCAACAGATGAATGGATAAACATTCTCATACCGTGGAAAGTATGCCTTAGAAAGAAGGAAATCCTACCATTTGTGACTATGTGGTTGAAACTGGAGAAACTTATGCTAAGTGAAAATAAATACTGCATGATCTCATTAATATGTGGAATCTAAAAAGTTCCAACTCCTAGAAGCAGAGATTAGAACAGTTGTCATCGGGGGCTGGAGAAGTGGGCTGGATGGGGAGATATTGGCAAAAGGATATACACTTTCAGTTATGAGATGAATAATGAATTCTGGAGACCTAACACACAGCATGTGATTATATTTAATACTAATGTATACTTAAAAATTGATAAGAGCAGATTTTCTGTCTTCAGGAGTATACACACACACACACACACACACACACACACACACACACACAAAGGTAACTATAAGTGTTGATGGAGAGCTTAATTAATTTGATTTTGGCTATGTATACACATATTAAATTATCATACTACACATTCTGAATATACGCTTTGTGTCAATTAAATATTTTGAAAATAAATAGTCACTATGGCAAGAAAGAAAAGAATTGGATTATCTGTTCCTTCCATTTTTTATCTAGCAGCCCTAATTAAGCCCTATCAATTTTTCTTTTCTCTAGTGTAGTGGATTGTACATTTCACAGGCCAGTTTAAACAAACCAAACTAACAGAGTTGCTAACACTTGTTTACCATGTAAATACACTTGAAATTCCAACCATTATCTACTACCACCATCACTGTATAATAGAGAAATATCATACTGTGGACAGTACATACAAAGCAGAGAAACAATGGTTTCTAAGGAAGACAGACTGTGTCTTCAAAATATCCTTATAAAGAGAGTGAGTAATTAAATCTTTTATATAGAAAAAGTACAACAAAATTATTTGAGGTCAATGCCTTTCTTTACAGCTTCCCTGATAAATTCACTTATCCATTCAGTATCGACATTCAACCGGTTCAGGGAGTGAGATTCCAATGTTTAACCCATTCTATTTTTTGTGTGTTTCTTAGAGACATCTTTTAGACACCTGTTTTCATTCAGGTTGCTGCTAAAAACTAGAGGCCATACTTTGAACCATTTGTGGATATTTTTGGAGTAATTGATTCACAGAATTCTCCATTCTTCCAGCATCATCCCTCTCTGAATGTAAAGCCTAGAAGGAGGAGGTTGGTGAGCTCCCTGGGCATTCTCATCTCATGGTCCAGTTTATCTGAAGTGAATCCATTCCGCTGGAAACTGACCTAAGAGAGATACAGCAGGCTTGGATTGGCTCTGGTGTGGGAGCCAAGAACTGTTTTCAGGAAAGGTCTGATCACATTAGGCATACCACAGTGTGGGGGTTTTAATGCATTACTTAAAATGTTCCAGGACATTTGCATTATAAACCTTATTACTTGTTGAAGAATAATGTCTTTGCCCTTATTGAAATGATTTTATATATTTTTGAAGCACATAAGGGAGCATTTTCAGATGTAGAAGCTCTTTCCTGGAACCATATGAGATCATGTAGGATAGTTGGGATCTGCAAAGCATAGATTCTAAAGTTATTATTGAGTTGAAGTCATGACAGTTTGGGAAAAACTACAGTGTAATAGGGAGGAGAGATATACTTATTGCAATAAGTGTATTTTAGGTTTTTAAAGATTTCCTCCTCATCTTGTTTAGCAATTAAAATATCCCAATTTGTTTATTTACTGTTTTTTGTTAAGATTTTGGGATGAGGTTTAGCTTCACATATGATGTAAACTATGATTATCTTCCTTGAGAAAACGAATATAGGTAACAATGTTGTATTCAATATCAGGGATTCATGAGTCTCTCCCAGAAAGAAACTTTGATACAAAATCTTAAATGTTAAGAATTATTGTTGAAGCAAGGAATAGTGGCACATGCCTATAATCCCAGCAGTTCAGGAGGCTAAGGCAGGTGGATCACTAGTTCAAACCAGCAAAAGCAAAGCACTAAAGTAAGTAAGTAAGTAAGTAAGTAAGTAAGTAAATAAATAAATAAATAAAAGTGAAGCACTGAGCAACTCAGTGAGACTTTGTCTCTAAATAAAATACAAAATAGGGCTGGGGATGTGGCTTAGTTATTGAGTGCCCCTGAGTTCAACCCCAGTACTCTCTCCACCCCAAAAAAGAATTATTGTTAAAGTGGTAAATGTAGTTCTTGGCCAAATCAAAATAACTACGTGTACTGAAGACACTGGGTTACTTGGTTATGAATTAACTTGCATGATTACTAGGACGCGATTTTGTTCTCTTTATTCCATATAAAGAAACTAAGACTTTAACCCCAAAGCTAAATGATACACCTAGACTTGTCCATAGGGCTGTGGGATGTGTACATGTTTCCAAGTGTGGCTTTCTTCTCTTGGAGCAAAGCCTATTTAAGGAACTCTTTATCTTTCTATATTTTCTTCTAGAATGAAAATTTCTCCTGGAAGTAGCTGTAAAATTTTCTGGATTTTCGCACCTTGCCTTGCCTTTG